ATTGATTTAGATTTACACTTCAGTTTGTGTTTAAAGAGGAAAAAAACCTTCTGAAATACTTGTTACAATCACATGAAACAATCATGGAAGCTATTTTGTGTCCATCTATGCAAATGTGTTGCAAATATTTTTGATAAGTAAGGAAATAAATTTCTATTGATTTTTATGTTTGTTATGAACTTTCTTTCACAATTCGACCGTTTATCCAGTTAATACTGCAGCTAACAGACACTGAGGACTCGTACTGTAACAGCATAATGTCCCCACATTACAGGAAAAAGTACTCAGATCCTTAAAAACCACCGCAAAACCACATTGTAAAAGCATAAATCGGTGGTCGCCAAAGCTTCATGGGGTGTGGGCGTCTTGATTTTAAGGTGTGCTAGTAAAATAATACTGTAGGTATCTAAGTCATATAGAAACAATGGAGGCAAGCACCAGAGACCATAGAAACATGGAGTGTTTCAAAAGAAGCCTGTTAAGTCTGTATGATTCATTAAAACATTTAAAATCCATAATACAGACAGAGAATTGTATGAAAAGTTCCCTCAACAGGAAATAATGTTCTTTACGTTGAAATAATGGACCAGCAAAGACCCTTTATAGAGCCAGTGTTTGGTTTGTCCTATTCTGCGCTACTGTAGAAACATGGCGGACCCACTCCAGTGTAGATTATAGCTATTGTTATATTCAGGTGATTATACACTAATGAACAAGCTTTCTTTACAGATGCTGTGACGTTTGCCTGTATTTAGTGGAATCCATTCTTCCCTCTACCGGTGCAGTGTTTCCTGTTCCACTGGCTGCAACACAAAGCGTAACAGATCCACACCCATGCTTAAGTTAGCCTTCGTGAAATGCTGCTCGAGTTTACGACACTGCGTGCTGTCTTTAAGACTGTGAAAACTGGTTAATGAGGTAGCAGAGAAGTTAAAATAGATAAAACCATCCATCCATTACCACTTAAATAAATCGTATTCAGTTTATAATACATTGATAAGAACCCATTAGAACATGGGTGGTGTTAAGGGAATACTTCTTCATACTGCTTTATTAAACACTAAATAATCTAATATTTTCACCCTTTTGCATCCACTAAGAAAATATAATTATTGATAATTCACTCATTTTTACTAAAAGTTGTACCAAAGCATTCATATTCTTATTTTTCCAGTTAAACAGACTGAATTCTGTTTAAATCATAGATAAACGATAGATAATGAATCAACTCTTTAATTCTTCAACAATACTTCAACTCAGGTGCTTTAATTAAAAAACCCCACAACATCTCACACACAGACGATTATACGTTAACACATTTTATCTTGTTTTCAGCGTTTGCACTGAAACCTTATGTGTAACCGACAGTACTGATTCATTCGTTTAAAAAAGGAACAACAACATTTACGTGTTGCTAAACCTTTTCATGTGAATAACCCGATGATACTGATGAAAGTAGACTTCTGCAGAATAGGTCTTCATGTGTAAAGCCACAGGCACCGTGACGGGTTAACAGATGCTCCCTGCTGTATGGTGAGATACTGTAAAGGAAGTCGGACCTGTGGTTAACACTGAGTCACAGTTAAAGAGGAACCATGATCCTCTCTGCTGTTTCTGTCCAATCTGACAGTGACATTTATCTTCACTGTTTCTGCCTTAAAACTGAGCTGACCAACTACCTTTGAACTTTTATGATGATTATGAAGTAGTGTGAATAATTCAGTAATAACCAATTAATTAAATGAATCATTTAAGAAGCTTTAAGAAGCATAAAAAAGCATAAAAACAGTCGTATCAATATTCAGATTGTAATAATAGCCGACATGGAAAGGTTTCGGAGTAGCTCGACCCGATCTGATTAAAATATATATGTGACTGAGAGAATATGAAGTTATTATTATAGCAGTCTACACAGTCCGAACAGTTAGCAGAAAGCTAAAAGCAGCAGGATAAATGGTTGGAAAAGTTAGTGCGACATTATAAATGTGTAATAAATACTTGAAATAAATGAGCTGGCTGAAAAAAGCTAAATGTGATCATGAAATACTGAAATAATGGCTAGTATAATAGTAGTCTATATGATTGCAGACGTGACTAAATTAACCGAAACATTCACAATTCAATTGCATAAAAACAAATACTGTAACTAATATATCTGGTAATTACTGACTAATATATGGAAGACAAAACAACAACAAAAACCTCATTAAAAGAAAGTAATAAAAGTTGTGAAATCATAAACAAATATAATTCTATATTCTATCACAGGAGGAAGAATAATGTAAATAATGATGGGTTATGAAACTATTATTTTAAGCTTAAAAACAGCTTTGACAGACACTAATGTATTCCACAAACAGCAGGCAGTGAATTACACATGAAATGAGACACTGTGCTTCAAACAACACAATACAAAATGCCACCGAGAGTAAAAAATAGACAATGTGTGCAAACAAAAGCTGCAATTTATTTCTTTTCCTGGAAATAAAACACAAAGGCTGAACCCGAGCTCTCAGAAAGGTCTTACACTTCCAATCCGTCATTCAAACAAGTATATTTAGATGTTCAGTTTCCTGGTGGCGAAATAAAAGCAATGACCCCCTGTCCGGTGGCGAGAGCCGTCTGTGGCTCTGTAATTGGAGGTAATGTTGTGTTAGTCAGGCGTGTGGCACAAGGCCCTGATATGCTGATTCACTGACAAACATCAGCCAACACAAATTCATAAAGGCTGTGATTCACATTCAGAGAGAATTCAGAGCAGCGAGATGTGTCGTGCCTCAGCAGCTCACACACACACACACACACACACACACACACTTTGTATTGAGTCACTCTGAGAAGCTGCTACCTTATAGCTACTGTTGCCTGGCAACCACATATCAAACGTCCGCTTTGCATGATAACCCCCCCCGCCCCCCCCTTGTATGT